GAGTTTTGAATTTGAGTTTTCTGTCTACTAGTTCAGGTGGAAGTATGGTACAGTGGTTAATCCCAAGGGCGTTTGAGGCGCGAGCCGCAAGGGCGAAGTTCGCAGCGCAGGGCAAAGCACGGCGACCACGACAACCAGCTCTTGGCTTGCAGCGCTCCGGCTGCCGCGGCTCATGCAAGACCACCCCAGACCTCAGCAGCGCAGGACGGCCTTCTACCACGCCCGCAGGCGCCCTGGTCAGGGACGCGGGCAAGGGCGGGGACAGGGCGCTCTGCCCCACGACGACCGGGCCTCCGCTGGAGGCCTGCGGGCTGGAGCCGTCTGAGGGCTTGCTGGCCCACAGGTCTGCGAGGTGAGGCTGCCCGGGGACTGGAGGCCTCAGCTCCTCTCTGCGCCATCCTCTCGGCCTAGTGTCGCCAGGGAGGCTACTTCCGGCTCCCTCCAACATGCGCGCGGCGCCGCTCGCCCTCCCAACATGCCGGCGGCACACGGCCGCTGCCAACATGCGCGGCTGCACGGCCGGGCTGCCCAACATGGCGGCCGGGCGTCTCAACATGGCGGCCGGGCAGAAGGTGAATCCTATTTATTTTTATTTAGGTATGTATTTATTTTTTTGAGACAGAGTCTGGCTCTGTTGCCCAGGCTAGAGTGAGTGCGGTGGCATCAGCCTCGCTCACAGCACCTCAGACTCCTGGGCTCAAGCTCTCCTGCCTCAGCCTCCCGAGTAGCTGGGACTACAGGCATGCGCCACCTGATGCCGGCTAATTTTTTCTATATACATTTATTGGCCAATTAGTTTCTTTCTATTTATAGTAGAGACGGCCTCACTCTTGCTCAGGCTGGTTTGAACTCCTGCCTCTAGCAATCCGCGCGCGCTCAGCCTCCCGAGAGCTGGGATTACAGGTGTGCGCACATACCGGCCTAATTTCTTTCTATTTTTAGTAGAGACAGGGTCTCGCTCCTTGCTCAGGCTGGTTTTGAACTCCTGACCTTGAAACCTTGAACCATCTCCCGGCCTCGGCCGTCCAGAGTGCCAGGATTACAGGCATGATCCCCTCGCCGGCCCTCCTTTATACTGTTGTAAGTCACAATCGTGTAGTTTGTTCTGTTTCATCCCATACTCCAGCTTCTGGCATGCAGTAGCACTCACAAATGCTTAGATGGGGATTGTACAGGACGTGACTCGGTGCTCGCGTCCTCGGGTCCTCGCGTCCTCGGGTCCTCTCGTCCTCGGGTCCTCGCGTCCTCGGGTCCTCGCGTCCTCGGGTCCTCTCGTCCTCGGGTCCTCGCGTCCTCGGGTCCTCGGGTCCTCGCGTCCTCGGGTCCTCGGGTCCTCGCGTCCTCGGGTCCTCTCGTCCTCGGGTCCTCTCGTCCTCGGGTCCTCGCGTCCTCGGGTCCTCACGTCCTCTCGTCCTCGGGTCCTCGGGTCCTCTCGTCCTCAGGTCCTCGGGTCCTCGCATCCTCGGGTCCTCGGGTCCTCTCGTCCTCGGGTCCTCGGGTCCTAGCGTCCTCGGGTCCTCGGGTCCTCGCGTCCTCGGGTCCTCGCGTCCTCGGGTCCTCGCGTCCTCTCGTCCTCGGGTCCTCGGGTCCTCGGCGGGCCGGCGAAGCTCAGGCGATGAAGGAGCGCATCTCCGGGTGTCAGACACCAGGCAGCGTCGCCCCTTTCCCACGCAGGGATTACGGCGCCCGTTTCGATTGAGAGCCCGAGCCCCGTGTGAGTTCTGGAACTTTCTCTCCGTCCCAGCTTTGCCGTCTGCATCTCGGAGCAGAGGGGGCGCTGCGCGCCGCAGGGCGTGCGGGCGAGGCGGATCCGACGGTGGGTTTGTTTATTCCCTCCTTCCACGGAGGAATGCTCCTTCGCAGCGTCTCCCGCGCGGGGGACGTGTCGCCGGCCCGAGGACGGTGGCAGCCGGTTCGCGCCAAGCCGCGGGCGGACGCGGGTGAGGACAGGCCCGGCCAGGCCCTGTCCCCGTTCTCAGCCGCTCAGTGCTGGCTGGAGGCCTTGTGGCCATCCAGGGTTCCTTGGGGCAACTTCCTGGGAAGCCTGGGGACACATTTTATATTTTTTAATCTCAGGTGAAAATAAAACAAAATGCCAGTTGCTCTCATGATTCCTCTAGGGCAGGGGTCCTCAGACTTTGTAAACGGGGATCCAGCTCACTGTCCCTCAGACCGTTGGAGAGTGCGCACTGTGGCCGGGGACAGGTGGGCTGCTAAGCAGGACAGGCAGCGGTGGCAAAGACACCCCGAGGGCCAGATAGATGAGCTAGGTGGCCCGCATGTGGCCCTCGGCCGTAGTTTGAGGACGCCTGCTCTAGGGGCTGCAGTGTGGGCGAGTTCTTCTCTATTTAAGTAGATTTTTTTTTTTTAAGTTGCACCATGTACAATATGTCAAGTGGTGTTTACCGTCTGCATCGTAGATATTTAATATTTCAAAGTTTCTTTGTTTTTGTCGTCTGCTAACAAGGAAGTGGAAAATGCCAGCTGGTTGATGGCCAAGCCTGGTCTGGCAGCCTGGGGTGGGGCGTGTGGTTTAGGTTTGGCTCACCTGTGCTTCCGACTCAGAGTCAGGAAACACAGGGACACAAAAGTAGGGAGGCTGCCGTTCATCACAGTGACAGGTGGGGACAGTGCGTGTGTGTCTGTCGGGGCGGAGCGGGAGACCACCTTGGGAAGAGGTGTCAGCAGGAACTTGCAGTGCCCGGACCCCATGGGGCAGGCCGCGACAGTGGCTGTGGTTCCCCACTCCCCAGGCTGGTTTGTAGTAAGTCGCTTCTGATTAGCAGACAAGACACAGGCGGCACCTGGGCCTGGCTCTGGCTGGATCAGGGTGTAGCCCCTGAGTCTGGCTCTCTAGCCCTCCCAGCGGTCTTCTGAGCTACCCAATATCCTCTCTCTAAATTCTTCTTTGGCTTTAAGAGCCTGGATTGGTTTTATTGCATGTGATTTAGCCTCCTGAGAATAACACAAAGTAACCAAAAAGGAATGAGGAATTTTTTTTTCCTGGAGACAAGAGTCTCGCTCTATTGGCCTGGGTAGAGTGCAGTGGTGTCACCATAGCTCATTGTAGCCTTAAGTTCCTGGGCTCAAGCGATCCTCCTGCCGCAGCCTCCCAAATAGCTGGGACTACAGGCATGTGCCACCATACCTAGCTAATTTTTCTCTTTTTAGTTGAGACAGAGTCTCATTCTTGCTCAGGCTGGTCTCAAACTCCTGACCTCAAGCAATCCTCCTGCCACGGCCTCCCAGAGTGCTAGGATTACTGGCATGAGCCACCACACTTGGTCATGGATAAATTCTTAAAAGTAGAATTATTATGGCAATGGGAAGACATTGACTCAAAAACTTAGGAAGGTACATAGATGGCTAATAAGCATAGGAAAATATGTTCAACACCATAAGTCATTAGGGAATTGCAACTTAAGACAACAAATGCTATACCACTACACACCTATTATTAATAGAATGGTTAAAATCTAGAACGCTAACAACACCAAATGCTGGTGAGAATGTGAAGCAACAGGAGCTCTCATTCATTACTCATGAGAACACAAAATGGTACAGCCACTTTGGAAGACAGTTTGATAGTTTCTTAGAAAACTGAATGTAGGCTTGCCATATGATCCAGCAATTGCACGCATACGTATTTAACCCCAATGAGTTGAAAACTTATATCCACACAGACTCTTGTATACAGATGTTTATAGCAGCTTTTTCAGAATTTCCCAAAACCAGAAGGAACCAAGACAATAGATCGATGGATAAACAAACCGTGGTATATCCATGCAATGGAATACAGTATTAAGTGATTAAAAAAAATAACTACCGTGTTTCCCCGAAAATAAGACAGGGTCTTATGTTTATTTTTCCTCAAGTAGACACCCTAGGGCTTATTTTCAGGGGATGTGTTTTTTTTTTTAAGTACAGTACAACAATCTACATTTATTCAAATATAGTTAAGTCGTCTTCTTCTGGAACATCATCATCACTCTCCAAACCCTGAATTCCATCCTGAATGTCTTGCGACTCTATTTCCTTTAGAACCATCGGCCCCAATCTCTCCTGTCGAGCACTAGAGCTCTCATGGGGCAGATGCGAAGGGCTGCTCATCTTGACTGCTCTGCGATGGGTTGTGCAGATGCACTGCGCGGCCACGCCCGTCACTAGGGCTGATTTTCGGGGTAGGGCTTCTATTGCGCAAATGCTTAGACATCCTGCTAGGGCTTATTTTATGGGTAGGTCTTATTTTTGGGGAAACACGGTATCAAGCCACGAAAAGACATAGGAGCCTTAAACACATATTGCTAAGTGAAAGAAGCCAGTCTTAAAAGGCTATGTACTGTATGATTCCAACATATGACATTCTGGAAAATGTAAAACTAAGAGACGATAAAAAGATCAGTGGTTTCTAGGAGATCCAGGAGGGGGGGAAGAAAGGTTGAACAGGTGAAACAGGATTTTTAGGGCAGGGAAACTGTTCTGTATGACACTGTAATGGTGGTTACATGACATTATGCATTTGTCACAACTCATAGAACTGTACAACACGAAGAGTAAACCCTAATGTAAACTATGAATTTTAGTTAATAATACTGTATTGATATTGGTTCATCAGTAGTGACAAACATATCACATTAACACAAGGTGCTAAAATTAGAGGAAACTAGCAGGGGGGAGGAAGAGAGGCTATATGAGAACTCTACACTTTCTGGCTGATTTTTCTGTAAACATAAAATATAGAGAATATTTTTAAATTTTTGTTATAAAATTAATGTATGCAAAAAATATACTATATACTCACTGAAAAAGTTCCAAAGAATATGGATAAATAAACTGAGAAAATGAAACTACCACCACTACCTCTAGAGATGCCCACTTTTAATCATTTGGCATGCGTTCATCTAGATTTTTCTCTTCATATAAAATGTATATTTTTCCTATAAGAAAGAACCATATTATGAAATTTTTGTGTGCTTTGCATTTTCTAAAACCTAACTATGTATCATAACCATTTTCTATGTCAGTAGATACAGATTTACTTTATTATCTACTTTCTTCTAACTGCACATTATTGCATTGTATGGTGCTATCATAATTAATTCTTTATGATTGGACATTTAGATTGTTCCCAAGTTTTGTTATTACAAACTAGGTTGTGGTGAACATCCTTGTATCTCTATCTTTGGGGCTTTGTTGTTACCAATTTCCAAATTGCCCTCCTGAAAGTTTGTTCCAATCCATACTCGCCTTGGCAGTTCCTATGTGCTGGTTTGCCAACACCCTTGCCAATTGGGAATGTTATTTTTTTAAATCCTAGCAATTTTAGTAAGAGAAAAATGCCGTTTCATTTAGTGGACGTTAATAGTGGTGACAAAGTTAGACTTTCTGTGTATGTTGCCTGAATAATTTCCATTTGGCCATCCAGAAGCCTTCCAGGTGGGTTCCATATTTTTCTGGCGTCTAATCACTTCTCCCTTGCCATTCATGTGTTTCAGTTACGACAGTGGCCCGACTCGTATACAAAGAAGTTTGAACACAGAATCTACCCCATCACATTTTCTGTTGGAAACCCTCAGGAATGGAAGAAATTATTCAAACCCTGCGCTGCCCAGAGACTCTTTCTTCCGGTAGGAACACCTGTTTTTAATAAGGAGTAGCTTGGAAGAGACTTGCTCTTGGAACCCTGGTGCAATTTGCTGGAGTGTGTTTATGGATGTTTAATTTACAGCTGAAAATGTGTCTGTCTTGGATGCTATAGTTCATGCCGTGTGTAGAGACAGGGTCCCTGTGTCATTGGGGTTGCCTTCCCCAAAGACTGAGGGTCTGAGAACATCCAAATCCTTTCTCGAATTATGGGTCTTTGTGACTCTGTTTCTGCCATTTACTGGCTGTGTGAACCCCAGGAAATCCCCCAACTTCCCTAAGCCTCAGTTTCATGGAGCTTGGCATATAGTTTGCCTTCATAAATGTTAGCTTTGGCTATTGTTATTTCTGCTATAACAATAACAACTGCTAGTTGTAGTCATGCTAGGGTGTAATGCAGAAATGATCCAGAGTATTAGTTTAGCCTTTCAGTTTTGAAGTTTTAAATTACATGTTTTTGTTTCCTTTTTTTAAAAAAAATCCTAAATAGAAAGATCACTTAAGATATATCAAAACTGAGAATATCATTCTGCAGAGATGGCAACTTTTTTTTTTTTTTGAGACAGAGTCTTACTCTATTGCCCAGGCTAGAGTGCCATGGGGTCAGCCTAGCTCACAGTAACCTCAAACTCCTGGGCTCAAGCCATCCTACTGCCTCAGCCTCCCGAGTAGCTGGGACTACAGGCATGCGTCACCATGCCTGGCTCATTTTTTCTATATGTTTTTAGTTAGCCAATTACTTTCTTTCTATTTTTAGTAGAGACGGGGTCTCGCTCTTGCTCAGGCTGGTCTCGAACTCCTGACCTTGAGCGATCCACCCACCTCGGCCTCCCAGAGTGCTGGGATTACAGGCGTGAGCCGCCACGCCTGGCCAAGATGGCAACTTTGAATGGTGAGTCGCAGCCGTGATATTTGTGAAGGATTCATGCCTTCAGTAAACATTTGCTGATGGCCCATTAGGTGCTAGGCCCTGGCTATGCTTCTCTCTTGGAGCTTTTGTCTAGCAGGGCATTGAACAAGCAATTAAAAGTGTGATCGGTGCCGAGGTGGAGAACAGTCTCGGGGATGTATGTAACACAGCGGTTCCATCCTGGTCTGGGAGAGATTGCGGAGGGTTCTTTTGAGGCAGCACCATTGATGCTGAGACATGCATATCAATGAGAAGTAGAGATTGCTAGCTGCCAAGAGCCTGGGGGTGGTTAGAGAGAGAAGGGTTCCAGGCAGATAGAACAGTACCTACAGAGACCCTGAACTGGGAGAGGACATATTTAAGAAAATACAAGAAGGTCACAGTAACCAGAAAATTGAAAGTGAGATTCGATTGAAGAAATGAGCAGGCCCTGTAAGCCATGTTAGAGTAGCTGGTCTTTGTCTTAAGGACAGTGGGGAGCCATTGGATGAGTTCTAGCATGGAAGTGAGATGACGCGACTTGTGTTTTAAAGAGGACACACTGGTTCAGTGCAGTGTGGACAGTGGAGTTGGTGAGGCCAGTCCATGATGGCTTGGGCTAGGGTGGTTGCCTTAGAGATAGATTCGGAACATGCCTGAGAAATAGAATTTACCAGCTCTTATGATTGGGTCATTGTAAACAGGTGGGGTTCTTTGTTTGTTTGTTTAGTTTTGTTTTCTGTTGTTTGTAGAGATGCGGTCTAGCTATGTTGTCCAGGCTGGTCTTGAACTCCTGGCCTCAAGCAGTCCTCCCGCTTTGGCCTCCCAAAGTGCTCAGCTTATGGGCATGAGCCGCTGTGCCACCAGGCTCATTGTAATCATTGAAGAGGAGGGAAGTGAAAAGGATTTCACCCAGGTTTCCGATCTGAACAACTATTAAGATTGATCCATTTGAAACCTGCCAATATTTAACCATTCATGACCTACACAAAAGGCAATTTCTTATGGCTCAACCTAAGAAATGGATAGCAGTATCATTTAGAGATGGAAAAGACTGGAAGAAAAGCATTTTTGGTAAAGGGGAAAGATGAGTTTGAGTCATATTCTGATTTTGAAGTGCCTGGGGCCATTCCAGCAGAGGAGGTCCCCCCAGCTGTTGGTCTGGAAGCCCTAAATGGCAAGTGGCACCTTTAGCATTTCCTGCACAGAGACCTGTGAGCGGGACAAGGCCTGGATGTATTGTTGGCGCGATTCGCTGTCCAAGCTCACTCACTCATTGTCACCTGTTTTTCACATGCCACAGACCTTTATACATGTTGTGAGATAGGATTAATTGCATAAAACTGGGCAAGAAAAGTTTACCTCAAATTGGTACTAAAATGTCTAGGTTGTGGGACTGCAAACTAGTTCAACCTCTGTGGAAAGCAATATGGAGATACCTCAAAGCAATACAAGTGGATCTACCATTTGATCCAGCAATCCCATTGCTGGGCATCTACCCAAAAGATCCAATGACACTCTACAAAAAAGACACCTGCACTCGAATGTTTATAGCAGCACAATTCACCAATTGCAGGCTGTGGAAACAGCCAAGTGCCCATCAATCCAAGAATGGATTAATAAAATGTGGTATATGTATACCATGGAGTACTTTCAGCTCTAAGAAACAATGGGTGATATAGCACATCTTATATTTTCCTGGTTAGAGCTGGAACCCATACTACTGAGAGAAGTATCCCAAGAATGGAAGAAACAAGCACCACATATACTCACCAGCAAATGGTATTAACCGAGCAGCACCTAAGTGACACAATAGGTACAGTAATAGGTAGTTGGGCAGGTGGAGCGGGGAAGGGCGGGTATATACATACATAATGAGTGAGATGTGCACCATCTGGGGGATGGTCATGCTGGAGACTCAGACTTGTGGGGGGAGGAGGGAAAGGGCATTATTTGAAAGCTTAAAATTTGTACCCTCATAATATGCTGAAATAAAAAACAAAAAGAATTGCTAAGAAAAAAAAATTAAAATCTCTAGGTTGGTGATGTAAAAATGAATTAGCATTTGAGAAAGTGAGAAAAAAATGTTAGGTTTCTGCTTGTCATCTCCATTTTTGGAAAAAAAGAAATATTAAAAAACCAAAGTTAATGCTGGGAAATTGCCCACTCTATCCAAAATATTAGCAATCCAGAGGAACTACGTTTGCATTTTCTCTGACCTTGAATTGTGACCTTATTACCACTGTTAAAAAAAAACAAACCTACCACCTGATAGTTTTCATTCATTCCCAGCTAAGTAAGTGTTCTGTTTTGAATGACAAATGGGTGCTGGCATTCCTTATCTGCTTCTGATAATGGAAACTAGCCTTTCTTTAAAAATAATAAAGAGAGATTGTGGTTGACAGGACATTTACCTTCTCCCAGTTGAATGTCATAACAGCACGTTATGAATACGGCATTTTGTGGGGGCATGGGCGAGAGGTACTGATCTTCAGCATAATGTGAAATAAAGCCTGGGTCATATTTTCCTTGAAATGCATCCCTAAAAACCCAGATCAGGGGTGCTGCTCAGGCAGCACAGAGAAAATGGAGACCCTAAAATGCAAACATCCTAGCAAGTGGTCGGTTAACTTAAAGACCATAGTCTCACCCATTTTCCGAGAAGCTGTCATTTACCCCAAACCTACAGAAGAGACCCTTTCTCGACTAGGATTTAACTGTCAAAATAATATCCAAGTCTTTGCAACTCAAGCCTGTTAGATTATCAGATACAATGAGCAGAATTCAGATCTCACCAATTCAAGATTTTTTAAAACTATTTTTTTACTTTCAAAATTTTTACAGGGGTGCAAAGGTTTAGGTTACATATATTGCATTTGCACTCCTGAGTTGGAGCTACAAGTGTACCCATCCCAGACCGTGTACACTGCACCCATTAGGTGTAAGTTTACCCATCCCCTCCATCCCCCCCCAATCCCCGTTGAATGTTACTTCCATATGTGCACATAAGTGTTGATCAATTAGTACCAATTTCATGGTGAGTACATGTGGTGCTTGTTTTTCTATTCTTGTGATACTTCATTTAGTAGAATGGGCTCCAGCTGAAGCCTTAGAAATCAGTGGACTTATGTGAATAATGGTCTTACGAGTGGGACTATTATGAATGCAAACTGAACAGCAAATGGCTTGATTAACTTCTCTAAAATGCATATTTCTTTCAGGTAATCCAGGAGTTAAAAATATTCAAAATAATATGCCAATTACAAAGAAATCAAATTTGTTCATTCAAATTGATTCTGAAAGACTTTTCCCTTTTTTTTAAGTAAAGGACAGAAGGCTGGCCGGGTGTGGTGGCTCATGCCTGTAATCCTAGCACTCTGGGAGGCTGAGGCGGACCGATAGCTCAAGGTCAGGAGTTCGAAACTACCCTGAGCAAGAGCAAGACCCAGTCTCCACTAAAAATAGAAAGAAATTAATTGGCCAACTAACAATATATATAGAAAAATAAATTAGCCGGGCATGGTGGTGCATGCCTGTAGTCCCAGCTACTCGGGAGTCCTGAGGCAGGAGGAGTCGCTTCGAGGCCCAGGGGGTTTAGAGGTTGCGTGAGCCGTAGGCGTGAGCGCCATGGCCATCTAGCCGAGCCCAAGCACGCAGTGAGGATTCTGCTTCAAAAAAAGAAAAAGGGACAGGACGGCCTCTATCCTATAAGAATAAATGAGTTTTATGGGAATTTAAGTACCGTTCCCTGCAATTAATGGAGAGGAGTAGTTGATGGATTGTTGGTGGTGAGCTACATCAGTGCCTTTTGGCTTACAATGCTCTGGGGCCTGGTTTAATGTATAAAAGACTTCTCAGGTTAATTGTGGTCTGGGCTGAGGAGGCGCTGCGGATATTTAAAACATGGCAGAGATCACTGTAGTGTCGAATCTTCAAAGACTTTATTGGTAAGTGGTACCCAAAATACTTATGTGAGGGTTAGGGTAAGGCTGCCTATAGCCAAACTCACTTAGGCCCGCTTAGGGGAGAAAAGTGTTGTCTTTGTTTTCTTTTTTTTGAGGACAAGGTTCTGGCTTTGTTGCGCCCAGGCTAGAG